TGGCGTTGGAAGATGGGTCCTTCGCATATGGGCAACCCTGTAGGATGGCGAATGGACTTCGGAAGTATTCGGGAATTTAAATTAGTGTTGCTGAATTGATGATCGGGAATTCGACGTTTACTCGTATCTTAGGCAAGAAGGTGAACGACTCGTAGCCAATCGGGAACGATGATGTCGGCTTGTTCACAATGGGTATTCGGGTGGTTGATGTGAATTGTGATTAGCCGTCGATTCGGGGGTGATCGGATACATGTGGGTAACCGAAAAATGTTGATTAGTGAGGAAGATCGGGAACTACGATATTGCGTTGGCGATTTGACGGCAATCGGAAACTTGTGGTCGTCGACGATCAGGAATTTCGAGATTTGTGTTCGGGTAATAAGGGTTGTTGACGATTTGAAAGTAATCGGGAACTTGTGGTTGTCGGTTGTCGACGATCAGAAATAACGATGTTTGTGTTCGGGTGATGAGTGTTGTTGAAGATTTGAAGGTAATAGGGAATTTGTAATCGTCGACTGTCGACGATCAGTAATTACAAAGTTTCGAACACTTCAAACGGCCAATGACGTCACACGCTGCCCAAATGTTGCTCTGCGGTATTTTGGCCCATTCCCGGCGTAGCGCTTACTTGGGGTGATCGACACTTTGGTATTTTTTGGTGCCAACCTCCAAAATACTCCAGACACAATAATCCAACGGATTGGTATCCGAAGATTTTGGTGGCCATTGTGAGCTTAAAATGAAGCGATTAACATCATTTTGTAACCATTCTTGGGTGGCGTGTGCTAAGTGCGATGGTGCTGAATCCTGTTGGAATGTCCAAGGTCTGTGGCCAAAATGTTTGCGTGCCCAAGGCTTTAATACACCCTCCAGAATATTTTCACTATAATATTCAGCATTTATTATGATACCACGGTCGCTTAATACGAGCGATCATCGGCTGTTATGGCGGTTCACACCATCACCATGCCCGGCGCATGAGTTCTGTTGGCCAACCAAAGGTGCATATTTTCAGCTGACCTCTCTGGCAAGTAAACACGATCATTTTTGTTGTTTACAAACTGCTGGACAACGAATGTTTTCTCATCGGAGAAACCCAAATTCGGCAAATTGGCACTTTCGGCAATGCGAAGCAACTCTTTAGCTCTTTTGAGCCTATTTTCTTTCTGTTGAGGGGTAAGTTCTTGCACTTTTTGAAATTTCAATGGCTTTAACCCATGCTCATTTTTCAATATTTTTCCGAATGGAATATTGCGATGCGATATGTTTAGCTTACGAGCCATTTTCGGCCACTGCGACGCGGATTTCGACCAAGTCTCTTCTTTACTTTTCGAACCATTTCTGCTGATGTCGCTGTTCCGTCTTCCGCCCACTTCCTTGACGTCGGGCTACGCTACCAGTATCACGGTAACCAGTGATGGTATAAAAGAGTTATTCACATTTAAATGCTGGAGTACTCTAACGATCGCCACTTGTGGTTCTCCAGCCAAATATAAAATCACACTATCCCGCTTGAATTCCATCACGAATAACTTTTTTTCTGGAAAATTCTCACCAAAGTGCTTTTGTACGCTTGTAAACAATGGAATGAGCTGTCACTGGAATAACTTTAACAGCTGTCGGACGAGTGGCTTAGAAATGACAAGCAGTCTGATGTTGGTTGCAGTTTTTTCATCTCATCCTGTAGACATCATACTTTGCACAGCGGTGTGAGGAGAGGTTATAATAACACTCCTACAAAATAATGTTGTTATAACCTCCACCTTTAAATTAATATAAAACAAGTTAAAAAGTATCAGTCGGTATTGCCGCAAGAGATATACCCTCAGCCTATGTTCGATTATCTAAATATACTTTGACTAGTGTTAAGGTTATTCAAACGTTTGACCCTCTATGGAGCAGATCCCGAAGGAATGGGCCAATATTGCCCATTTCCTATCGGACCCAAAATATGATATAAATATTTCGACAGATGTGCCAAGTCTAAATGGAATCGGATGTTAATTTGGCGATTTATGAGCTTCATGGGTACTCAAAATTTCAATATTTTGTGGGGGAGGTACTTGATGGAGTGGACCGATATTGTCCATTTTCACACCTGTCCTAGCACTGTTGCAAATATAAGGATTCGCAAAGTCGGAGCAAATTCGGATTAGTCTTTCTCTTCCTGTGCAAAAAATATATTTTTTGAAAATTTCGACCTTTTGTGGGGGAGGTACCAGAAGGAGTGGGCCGATATTATTCATCTTAACACCAGACCTTGGGTTAATATAAATATTGGGATGTGTGAAATTTGAAGACAATCGGACTCTTACATAACATTTTATGAGAGTTGTAATTATTCAAAATTTTGACCATTTGTGGGGGTGGTACTTGATGGAGTGGACCGATATTGCCTATTTTCACACCTGACCTAGCACTGACGCAAATATTAGGATTTGCAAAGTTGGAGCAAATTCGGATTATCCTTTCTCTTCCTGTGCAAAAAATATATTTTTTGAAAATTTCGACCTTTTGTGGGGGAGGTACCAGAAGGAGTGGACCGATATTGCCCATCTCCGAACTCGATCTAAGTTTGACAAAAATATTACGTTGTAGCTAATTTGGACCAAATCGGATACTCCCTTCGAGAGTTATCGTGCGCACCAGCCAGCCAGACAGACAGACAGACAGACGGACGGACGGACGGACGGACATCGCTAGATCGACTCCAAATGTTCTGAAACGGATTTGGTACAAAGAGACCTAGGGTCTAAAACCGTTATTTCGACTAGGCACGTTTTGGCCGTATCAAATGATATATACCCTCTGTAGCCATATGGCTGAGGGTATAAATAATATTTTAAATGACCAATACAAATTCGATGGCTTTACAAATTATCTTTACTCGGCTTATCTGGTTATGCTCAGATAAAAACAGACAATTAAATCACGTTCCGATGATTGTGATAATTAAAAATCATTGAAGCGTTAAAATTAACACAAACACCAGTCACACACAGACACACGCACACAGAGAGAAGCTCATCGACAATTTACTAATCAAAAGCAGTCATTAGCAACAGCAGATATTGAAAACATAAAATAATATTCGTGATTATCAGCAGCGTTGAGAAGACACACGAACGCACGTACACCCATACAGTTGCAGTAGCAGAAGTGTGGAACTGAAATTGAAACCTTATCGGAATATCCTTTGATGTTCCTCGTGTAACGCCCAAAAGTCATGCTTTCGTTTTTGGGGTACATTATTATTTTAAAGACCATTTTTACTTACTTATGTTATATACATCAACTATGAATTATATTTTCTTTGTTTGAAAATGAATTAAAATATTTAAGTTATGAATTAAACTAACAGCTACTCAGGGTCATGTAATTTAAATGTATTTGAATATTAACGGTCACACAGGTCCCCTAGTAGAAAGAAGTATACTTAAAATACAACATTGGAACCCCTGGTGGCAAATGGCGGAACTACGCAAAACTGTCAGATTGGGATCAGCTGCTGTCATGAGAAAACAACAATCGTTGTCCAGCCAAAAAGGTATAAAAGGAGACGCATTTCACACAATCGGGATCAGTCTTCTGTTGATGGCTGGTAAGTCAAGTGTGATTGGGAGGAAGAAAAGGCGCGCAACCTCGGTTGAATTGAGTCTTAGTAAGCCAAACAATAAGCCTTGACTATTTGTGGAGACTGGACTGGACTGAACGCAGGGTCAAGTGAGGGTTGTAGCAATACTCCCTATTCTTCGGGCTGCGTTGACGGCGACTGAACGCAGGGTCAAGTGAGGGTTGTAGCAATACTCCCTATTCTTCGGGCTGCGTTGACGGCGACTGAACGCAGGGTCAAGTGAGGGTTGTAGCAATACTCCCTATTCTTCGGGCTGCGTTGACGGCGACGGAACGCAGGGTCAAGTGAGGGTTGTAGCAATACTCCCTATTCTTCGGGCTGCGTTGACGGCGACTGAACGCAGGGTCAAGTGAGGGTTGTAGCAATACTCCCTATTCTTCGGGCTGCGTTGACGGCGACTGAACGCAGGGTCAAGTGAGGGTTGTAGCAATACTCCCTATTCTTCGGGCTGCGTTGACGGCGACTGAACGCAGGGTCAAGTGAGGGCTGTAGCAATACTCCCTATTCTTCGGGCTGCGTTGACGGCGACTGACGTACTCATCGGGCTGCTGCTGTGCCAAAGCTGCCGCCACCCGATTCGTCGTGCGCGTATTCATCAGGCCGCCGCTGTGCCAAGCTGCCGCCACTACTACTCGCCGCTGACGTATTCATCGGGCCGCCGCTGTGCCAAAGCCGCCGCCACCCTATTCGCCGCTCGCCTATTCATCGGGCCGCCGCTGTGCCAAAGCCGCCGCCACCCTATTCGCCGCTCGCCTATTCATCGGGCCGCCGCTGTGCCAAGCTGCCGCCACTACTACTCGCCGCTGACGTATTCATCGGGCCGCCGCTGTGCCAAAGCCGCCGCCACCCTATTCGCCGCTCGCCTATTCATCGGGCCGCCGCTGTGCCAAAGCCGCCGCCACCCTATTCGTCGCTCGCCTATTCATCGGGCCGCCGCTGTGCCAAGCTGCCACCACTGCTACCCGTTTATTAACATTTCGACTGAACTTTGTGATTTAGTGTTCTTCGTAAAAAGTTCTGAACGTGATTTTATTGTGTTTAGTGTAGTGTTTAGTGTTATTTAAGGAAATAAATTTATAACGTTTTAAGAAAATATTTTTGCTTCGCTCTCTCTCTCTCTCTTTATGTCCTAACAAATAAATTTTTGTGACGACTCTGGCCCCCGCTGAACCTACCCCAGCTTCAAAGTGAAAACACGTCGTCACAATGGCGCCCGAGCAGGGACAATAAAAGAGAGAAAGAATAAATAAATGAGTGAACAATAATTAGACAAATACAGATGAAAACCCAGTGAAAAAAAAAACAGTTAAAAAAAAAAAAAAAAAAAAACTGAAACAAGTAAAAATAATAATAATAAGAAAATAAAAAAAAAAAAAAAAAAAAAAAAAAATGTCAAACGAAAAGACAATGTTGAAGGTCTCCTGGGCCTATATGCTAAAGCAAGAAGACTTGGTAACATATCTTACTGAATTCAATCTTGATCCAGTTGGAAAAGTGGACGATCTCCGAAAAAGATGGGCTAAATTTCTCCACAACGACCATGAAGCCGATGTATACAGACGGCTTATAGAGTTGCAGAACAAACATGAAAGTACCAGTCCGACCAAATCGCCGACATTGCGAGCCGTCACAAAACAACCCCTTATAACCGTAACACCGTGTGGAGCAGAAGCAATAGTATTATCCCCAATGAAAACAGAGTACGCCCTTCCCCACATTTCCGCGGAAAGGTCACATGGAGAGTCAAGCACAGGGGTAACAAACGATCAAAAAGTACAGAAGATGTCGCCAACAAACCCCGAATATGGATTTCAAAAAGATTCTCCGCCCAAGCCATCCAATAATTCGTCGTTACTCGTAATTCTCGACCAAATCCGAAAATGGAATATTACTTTTGAAAATGGTATGGACCCTATTGGATTCGTAGAACGTGTAGAAGAAATGGCTGAAATGTACATCGTGGAATTGAATCAAATAATTAAAGTAATGCCAGAGTGGTTACGAGGTAAAGCTTTAATCTGGCTAAGGAACAACAACCGACACTGGACTACCTGGAACGAATTTAAGAGTGATTTTCTGAAATTCTTTTTGCCACCGAGATACTTTGAGAAATTGGAGGATGAAATTAGGAGAAGGATACAGCGTAATAAGGAGCCGTTTAAGGAATATGTACTCTCTATACAGCATCTTATGCAGCACACCAATATGACCGAAGAACAAAAATTGGAACGAATTTTTAGAAACGCGCATTCGGATTATCAATGGTACATTCGCCGTAAAGACTTTACCACACTTTCGGAATTGATCTCCTTGGCAGACGAACTCGAAAGCATACCAAATAATTCTCGGTCAGAACAGCCTCGAAATCAACAAAACTATAATCGACGTGCGGACAACTCTAGAAATAACCTGTATTGCACCAATCAAGGTGACCAAGTGCTAAACGAAAGCTCATCCAATCCAGAAACGCAGCAGGATGAACCCCCGGCAAAGAAGAGTAACCAGAATATTACATCATTGCAATGTGAAGAATATCGCCTTACTGCAACTGTCTTAATAGAGGGGAAAGCTATTAAAGCAACTGTCGACACTGGTGCCACTAGCTGTTTTATAAAAAGAGAATTTGCGGAAAAAATCAAGAAAAGGTTTACTTATTCACGGCATGAGGCAAATGTTATCCTCGCAGACGGCACCACGGTGAACATCACAAGATCAACAGTGTTACCTGTTACATTTGGAAACCAAAGCTCAGATGTTACATTTCTCATCATGCCGCAATTCAAGGAAAACATCATATTGGGATTGGAATTTCTAAAACAGTTCCACACGACCATTCACTGCGCCGGTATAAGTGTCAAATTAAGTAAGCCAACCACATCAACGGAGCATTGTACCGTGGCTATAGGAGAGGAAACCCCATCAAAAGAGGTAATAGATACAATGACAGCTACGAATAATGTATCCCCCAGACCTAAATTCTTAAACGATGAATTGAGTAAAACGCAATGTGAGATCGTTGAAAATTTTCTGGCACAGGAACTCCCTAAGTTCCAACAATTAAATGGCCTATCGTCAATAGCTGAACATAAGATTGTAATGACCGACGATCGACCCATTAAATTAAGATATGCTCCGCGAAATCCTGCAATGCAAGCCGTGATTAATGCCGAAGTGAGAAAGCTCGAAGAACGAGGATGTATAGAGCCGTCTACAAGCCCATACTGTTTCCCCATCACATTAGTCAGAAAGAAAAATGGGAATTGGAGAACTTGTATGGATTTTCGCCAATTGAATAAACGTTCTGTTCCAGATGCCTACCCTTTACCCCGCATCGACACAATACTGAATCGACTACGGGATGCCAAATACGTGAGTAGCCTGGACCTTAAAGACGGATATTGGCAAATACCTATGGCGAAGGAGAGCAGAAAATACACGGCCTTTGCGGTAGCTGGTAAAGGTCTATATCAGTGGAAAGTGATGCCTTTCGGTTTGCATTCAGCACCGGCAACCTTCCAACGGGCATTAGATAGTGTGATTGGGCCTGAAATGGACCCCCACGCTTTTGCATACCTTGACGATATCATCGTCATTGGAAAAACGTTTGAGGAACACTTGCGGAACTTGAGAGAAGTGTTCAGAAGATTGCGATCAGCTAACCTGAGAATAAACATTGAGAAATGCGAATTTTTCAGAAAAGAAACGAAGTATTTAGGCCATGTTGTGAGTAGCGAGGGAATAAAGACGGATCCAGATAAAGTTGCCGCAATAGTGGAAATGAAACCTCCAACATCGGTAAAGGAGGTACGAAGATTTCTTGGAGTAGCATCTTGGTACCGAAGATTTGTCCCACAGTTTGCAACAATTTCACAACCATTGACTAGTCTTCTTAAAAAGGGAAAACACTGGAAATGGGGTCCCGAACAACAAGAAGCATTCTCAGACCTAAAAGCAAAGTTAACTGAAGCCCCCGTTCTGGCTTGTCCGGATTTCACAAAGACGTTCATATTGCAAACTGATGCCAGCAACTATGGCCTTGGAGCAGTTCTAACACAGGAGTTAGATAACGTGGAACGTGTCATAGCCTACGCCAGCAGACATTTAAAACAGGCTGAAAAGAACTACTCAGCGACTGAAAAGGAATGTCTAGCCATACTGTGGGGCATTAGACACATGAGACCCTATTTAGAGGGTTACCAGTTTATAGTTATTACCGATCATTTGGCCCTAAAATGGTTAAATTCTATTGAAAGCCCTACAGGTCGACTCGCACGTTGGGCTCTCGAGCTACAGCAATATAATTTTTTGATCAGATACCGTAGAGGAAAACAGAACGTTGTGGCGGATGCGCTTTCGAGAACACCTTTGGAAACGTTAGACCTAGCCACAGTAAAATATGACACCAGTCCGTGCCCATGGCTAGAAAAGTTGAAGGAAACCATAACCAAGAATCCGAAGAAGTATCCAGACTATACAATCATTGAGGGAAATGTTTATCGACATTTTCCCAAGCAAATAAACGATGAAGATTGCACACCATGGAAGCTGTGTGTGCCCACCGGATCAAGGATTCAGGTCCTTAGAGAAAATCATGACAGTGTCACCGGAGGTCATTTGGGAGTGCGAAAGACTAGCAACAAGGTGGCGAACCGATATTTTTGGCCTGGTATGTTCCAGGACATCAAACGTTATGTCCAGCAGTGCGAATGTTGCCAAAAATATAAAGTCAGCCAACAGAAACCAGCAGGGGAAATGTTGATAAGAATCCCGGAGGAACCATGGGCCACTATTTGTGCGGACTTCGTAGGACCCCTACCGCGATCTAAGCACGGTAACTCAATGCTACTCGTTATTATGGATAGATTCTCAAAATGGACGGAGTTGGTTCCATTGCGGAAGGCTACGACAGAGGGATTAATAAAGGCATGCAGAGAAAGAATTATTTCTAGATATGGGGTTCCAAAAATATTGATAACCGATAACGGAACCCAATTCACTAGCAACCAATTCGAAAAATTCCTAGCAGAAATGGGTATAAAGCATCAACTTACGGCTCCTTACACCCCGCAAGAGAACCCTACTGAAAGGACAAATCGGACAGTGAAAACAATGATAGCACAAGTTTCGAAACAACATAATACATGGGACGATATGCTGCCCGAAATAATGTTAGCCATAAACACTAGTGCATCAGAATCCACTGGATATTCGCCGGCATACCTGACACAAGGAAGAGAACCGCGACTGCCCCAGGCATTATATGATCAGCTCACAACAGGAACTGGTGCTAGAATAGTCTTACCAGAAGACCGTGCCCAGGAGTTGAAAGAAATATTTAAGATAGTGCGTCGAAACTTGGCAAAAGCATCTCAAAACCAGCGGAGACAGTACAACCTTAGACGACGAGTTTGGAAACCAAAGATTGGGGAGCAAGTTCTAGTTCGTCTACATCCTCAGTCGAAGGCCGTCGAAAATTTCGCCGCCAAACTAGCGCCCAAATACGGAGGGCCGTTTGTCGTACAAAAATTCCAATCTCCAGTAATCGTTGTAGTCCGAGGAAAAGACAACATCACCCGCGTCGCGCACTTAAGTGAAATTAAGCCTTTTTATGAAGAACAAAATTAAATTGTAGACATAGAAGTAGAATGTTGATTGTAGTTCCACTTACGTTTATGTGATGCCATTTCATTATAATTTCTTATTTTATTTTTAGACATTAAATTGACAATACCCAAACTAATCAGTGTCCTAATATAAGCCCATACTTCAAAGACCATCGCAATTCTCAAAATTTCAACATCACGATGGAGCAAGATAGCCCCAACACGATAACACATTTCTCGAACTGCCAAATTATCCCGAAAACCTACAAATCCGTATCGAGAAGTTTAAAAACAATTGGAAAAAGGGACACAAACTGAAGCGAATTGTTAAACAAGATGGCAAGCAGTACCGCATAATAATATCAGCAGACGGGGTAGTGAAGGTATCTCTCCGAACTTCTGCAATTGGTCTCTAACATACCTTCCTATTCGACCGAGATATAGTCGAACCAAAGTGCCCATGTCGGAGAAATAAAAGGTTACATAACACCCTAGGGCTTCCTGGCTATTGAAACCCAATAGCAATAGAGAAAGCAAATCAAGGAATCAAAAATCAGAGGGAGGAAGAGATGCCATGTAACGCCCAAAAGTCATGCTTTCGTTTTTGGGGTACATTATTATTTTAAAGACCATTTTTACTTACTTATGTTATATACATCAACTATGAATTATATTTTCTTTGTTTGAAAATGAATTAAAATATTTAAGTTATGAATTAAACTAACAGCTACTCAGGGTCATGTAATTTAAATGTATTTGAATATTAACGGTCACACAGGTCCCCTAGTAGAAAGAAGTATACTTAAAATACAACATTGGAACCCCTGGTGGCAAATGGCGGAACTACGCAAAACTGTCAGATTGGGATCAGCTGCTGTCATGAGAAAACAACAATCGTTGTCCAGCCAAAAAGGTATAAAAGGAGACGCATTTCACACAATCGGGATCAGTCTTCTGTTGATGGCTGGTAAGTCAAGTGTGATTGGGAGGAAGAAAAGGCGCGCAACCTCGGTTGAATTGAGTCTTAGTAAGCCAAACAATAAGCCTTGACTATTTGTGGAGACTGGACTGGACTGAACGCAGGGTCAAGTGAGGGTTGTAGCAATACTCCCTATTCTTCGGGCTGCGTTGACGGCGACTGAACGCAGGGTCAAGTGAGGGTTGTAGCAATACTCCCTATTCTTCGGGCTGCGTTGACGGCGACTGAACGCAGGGTCAAGTGAGGGTTGTAGCAATACTCCCTATTCTTCGGGCTGCGTTGACGGCGACGGAACGCAGGGTCAAGTGAGGGTTGTAGCAATACTCCCTATTCTTCGGGCTGCGTTGACGGCGACTGAACGCAGGGTCAAGTGAGGGTTGTAGCAATACTCCCTATTCTTCGGGCTGCGTTGACGGCGACTGAACGCAGGGTCAAGTGAGGGTTGTAGCAATACTCCCTATTCTTCGGGCTGCGTTGACGGCGACTGAACGCAGGGTCAAGTGAGGGCTGTAGCAATACTCCCTATTCTTCGGGCTGCGTTGACGGCGACTGACGTACTCATCGGGCTGCTGCTGTGCCAAAGCTGCCGCCACCCGATTCGTCGTGCGCGTATTCATCAGGCCGCCGCTGTGCCAAGCTGCCGCCACTACTACTCGCCGCTGACGTATTCATCGGGCCGCCGCTGTGCCAAAGCCGCCGCCACCCTATTCGCCGCTCGCCTATTCATCGGGCCGCCGCTGTGCCAAAGCCGCCGCCACCCTATTCGCCGCTCGCCTATTCATCGGGCCGCCGCTGTGCCAAGCTGCCGCCACTACTACTCGCCGCTGACGTATTCATCGGGCCGCCGCTGTGCCAAAGCCGCCGCCACCCTATTCGCCGCTCGCCTATTCATCGGGCCGCCGCTGTGCCAAAGCCGCCGCCACCCTATTCGTCGCTCGCCTATTCATCGGGCCGCCGCTGTGCCAAGCTGCCACCACTGCTACCCGTTTATTAACATTTCGACTGAACTTTGTGATTTAGTGTTCTTCGTAAAAAGTTCTGAACGTGATTTTATTGTGTTTAGTGTAGTGTTTAGTGTTATTTAAGGAAATAAATTTATAACGTTTTAAGAAAATATTTTTGCTTCGCTCTCTCTCTCTCTCTTTATGTCCTAACAAATAAATTTTTGTGACGACTCTGGCCCCCGCTGAACCTACCCCAGCTTCAAAGTGAAAACACGTCGTCACACTCGCAACCGGCAACACATTGGCATTGTTTTGTGGCATTCCGAACAATGTAGGTGTTCTCATTAGATGGCAATTTTATTTGTCTTCTTTAAAGCCAAAGCCAATATTTAATTGAGTCACACGCACACACACAGCGTGGGTGTGTGTGAAAATATGATTTTCATTTTACTTTATTATAAACAACACAACAATTTTCCAGAGCCATAATGACTCTGGGAAAGAGGACATCAATGCCGATGATGATGATGATGACGTTGTTGTTACATTTTTATTGAATGATGCTGCCGCCCCGTCAACGGTAAATGACATAGAAATAGCTCACAGCTCATTACCTCTCAGAGGGAAAAATACCCCAGCATAGGGCTGGAAAAATGGCAAACAATTGGCAGACACCAAGGATATCGTTAGGATAGCTACAAGATAGACAACAGGATAATATGAACCAGCACCAGTTCTCTAACAGCAACATACGTGAGAATGAATACATTGATTGCACGAGTGTGTGTGTGTGACAAAACGTGTACCATTTTATTTGATTATGCCTGTGTGTGTGTGTGTGAGCCCCTTTGGTGTAATTTACAATTCGATGACTCTATGACAGGCAGAGAAAACGAGAAAAACCAAAACCAAGGCAGAAGAACCACAACTCAATATACGGGCCGGTCCCTTACGTGCTGTTCACAAGAAGTCGGAACAATTTCCAAGCTCCGTGTGTGAGAGTGTGTGTGTTACTTTTTCTGGTTTATTGGGCTAATTCAATAACCAACAAAGCCATAAACAGTTACCACAAGAAGCTATAATGTGTTGAATGGAGGATGTGAATAAATAAAGCTTTGCAAAAATCACCAGGGAGTCAGGGAGTCGAATGGTGTTAGGCGATGGTTTTGCATACCTTTTTGCACATCTCGCCAACCCCGACACATGCACCACACGTTCTCGGATACCAGTCACACGTAATGGTAGTTAAAATTATTGAGCTATGTTAGACCATAGGATATCCGTTGTAGATCATCTTTCACAAAAGTCCACACCAACACACACACACGCTCTTCGAATGCACAAAGGATGAACGAGGAAAAAACAAACACGACCAACACTAGCAGTCATCAACGACAATACAAAGGCACCACCGGTCGGTCGGTTCACACTAAATCAGATAACTCTGGCTATGGTTTCTGCAAGGAACTACAGGTATGTCAGGGAATAGGTTTAAGTATGTAATGCTGATGTTTTGTCGATATGTGTGGACTATGCTTAGATAAGCAAATAACCAGCCAGAAAAGGTAAGCTTTCGACGACACAGAGGCGTTTTTGTACTGGAAAATCAAACGATAGCAAGAATTTTATAGCCATTATGTAACATTTAATGGCGATAACATGGTCCCAATTCATTGTAAAAAAAAAACAGTTTGAACTAAAATGGACTATTACGTGATGTCTGGAAAAAAAAAGTCACCTGTATTAAATTATCAATAAAACCAGTTAAAAAGAGTCGGACAGATATATACCCTCAGTCAATGTTCGATTATTGAAATATATTTTGACTTCTGTTATGATTATTTAAACTCTTCACTCCTCTATGGAGTGAGTTCTAAAGCAATTGTCCATTTCGTATAGGTCCTAAATAAATATGATATAAAGATTGTGACGTCCCAAATTTGGACTATATTGATTACTTCCTTCACTTTTTATGAAATATGTGATAATTTTAAGAAAATGTAAAATAAGCTTGATGTACCAGATGTAATCGACCGAAGTATTCCATTTTCATGCTAAAAAAAATATTGGTATCGGCAAAATTACAAGCAAATCGAACATTTATATCCACTTTTTTGGGAAATTATAAAATCTGCATTCATCTCAGGTTTCTGTTTGAGCGAAATGTTTGGATTTAGCTATTTGTAAAGAATCACTGGCTTGAGGTACCATAAGAAATTGCCCGATCTCTGCCATATTTATAACAAATCTTGTGTTGATGGAAAAATTGAGATGTGCCAAGTCTGGAATGGAATCTGATGTAAATATCCGGTTTTGACCTTTTGTGAGGGAGGTACCAGAAGGAATGGACCGATATATTCCATCTTCAGAGCAAATCTTGTGTTAGTAGAAATAATGGGATGTGTGAAATATGAAGAGAACCGGGTACTTACTTCGGATTTTATTACGTCTTGGTTATTCAAAACTTTCACCCTTTGTGGGGAAGGTACCAGAAGGAATGGTCCGATATCAGACATCTTTATAACAGATCTTGTGCTAATAGAAATATTGAGATGTGTCAAGTCTGAATGATATCGTATGTTAATATCGGGTTTTATGAGCTTAACGGATATTCAAAATGTTGACCCTTTGTGGGGGAGGTACCAGAAGGAGTGGCCGATATACCCCATATTTACAGCAGATCTTGTGTTAATAGATATAAAGAAGAGACCGGGTGCCTATTGCGGATTTTTTAATCTTTTTTGGCATCCAAAACATTGACCCTTTGTGGGGGAGGTACCAGAAGGAATAGTCCGATCTCTACCATCTTAATAAAAGATATTGTGTTGATGGAAAATTGAGATGTACTAAGTCTGCATGGAATCGGATGGTAATTTCGCGTTTTAAAAGCTTCGTGGAAATTTTGACCCCTTGTGGCGGAGGTACCAGAGATATTGGACCGATATATTTCACCTTCACACTAGGGTTAATTAAAATATTGTGTTGTGTGCAATTTGAAGTCAATCGGATTTTTACATCACATTTTATTAGTGTCATAATTATTAAAAAATTTTAAATAGTACCTGATGGAGTGGACCGATATATTTTATTTTCGCACATGGTCTATCACTGAAAAAATATTAGGATTCTCTTTCTATGAGGTTAAATATTTTCTTTGAAAATGTTGACCTTTTACCAGAAGGAGTGGACTGATGTTGACCATTTCGATCTAAGTTTGACTATAATATTGCGATGTTTGGACCGAATCGGATAGTCCATTCGAGAGTTGTCGTGCACATCAGCCGACCGGACAGGCAAATGGACGGGTGGCATTGCTGTTAATTTGCGCACTTAACCCAAGTCTGACAAACATTATTGCGGCGAGCATTGCTTTAACCAAATTTGATACACCTTTCGTTTTCAATTGGTTCCTGGATTGTTTTTTTAAGAAAGTGGACCGACCAGTAGAAGTAGAAAAATTAGGAACATTTTCAGATTTTATGAGAGTTAGTAGCAGTTTTTTTTTTGTTTTCGTACACTATACAAAACCCCTTCCTTATCCAAACGCCACAGACTCACGGATATCCCTATGCTAATATTCAATCATATTTCTATTTCTAAACTATATAACAAATTTAGTAACTTTTACGAATTTTCGTACACTAAATAGTACGCAAAACTGCAGCTCCATCCATTACCAAATAGTACCAACTTGTAGTACCGTTTTGAATAGTTCTTACACAATGTACACATTCCAAAAACTACCTCAACTAGACTTGAATCTCATACCGAATTTCAAAATCTTACCTCTAATTCAAATTTAACTTCATATATCCACCGCATAGGTCGATCACAATACCTAATTATTGATTTTCAACTCTATTCCTTATTCAAATACCAGATTTGGTACTATTTAGTACTTATTTGTACGTAATTACAGCCCCAACCTCCTTTTATGAACCTTACTGTTCAAATTTGATTCTCATATCACATGTCAAGATTTTAGCTCTATCCATTTACATAATACCAAATTATATCAAAATTGCTCTTTTTTGGTACCTTTAGTATACCTATAAGTCGAATTTGCGAAAAAAAACTTTACTACATCTATCCCACATCATATCAGCTAAATTCATTTCAAATTTGTATTTTAGCTCTATAAATTTGTCCAATGCAATGGATTTAATATTTAGTAACTTTTTGTATACTTATAGGGAAAGTGCGCGTAGGTTCGGCATCTCCCAGTCGTCGGCACTTTTTTATTTTTTAGCTCAAATAAATTAAACAGTTATAACTAAACAGAAATTATTCTTTGCTTCGAATATAATCTCAGCTATCTTTGTGTACAATTTCGCTAAGAAACGATTTATTCTAATAAAAATTAAATTTTTGTCTGTGCAGGTCCTCCGCATGAACGGCCAATCCCTATTCTTAAGAAAAGTACAATAAAGACGTCGAATCAGTTTAACTAAAAAAATTTCATATTTTAATTAATACAACA